AGGAAATCATTGAGGATCTTGCAAGGGCCTCTCATCGCCTGATTGATGCGTTACAGAGCTAAAAGGTGTGTGTGGGTGGGGGGTGCTGCCAATAGATGGGCACTAAATTTGTATTTTCCACCAAGTATCTATACTAATAAAAGGGTAATATGCTAATTAGAGTGCGTCGACCGGCCATATTCTGGACATCTGACTTCCTTCAGGACAAAGCCATGATAGTGTGAAATAGGCAGAGACAGTTAGGGGTGATCAGGATGGCAAAAAGGGCAGTTGGGGACAAGATCAGGACGACAGGGGAAGGCAGTTGGGGGTGACCAGGCGAGCAGGGAATGGCAGTTGGGGGTGATCAGGCCAGCAGGGGAGGGCAGTTGGGGGTGACCAGGCCTGTAGGGGAGGGCAGCTGGGAGTAAACTGGCCTGCAGGGGAGGGCAGCTGGGAGTGAACTGGCCTGCAGGGGAGGGCAGTTGGGAGTGACCAGGCCTGCAGGGAGGTCATTTGGGGGCTAGATCAGGCCATCAGGGGAGGACAGCTGGGGGGTGACCAGGCCAGCAGTTGGGGGCATTAGGCAGGCAGGCAGGTGAGTGGTTAGAAGCCAGTGTTCCTAAATTGCAAGAGGGATGTCCGACTACAGATTAAGGTCCAATCCCACCCACAGGGATTGGGCCTAAACCAGCAGTCGGACATTCCTGGAGGGGTCCTGGATTGGAGAGGGTGCAGGCTGGGCTGATGGACACCCCCATGCATGAATTTCATGCACCAGGCCTCTAGTTATTTATATAATAGTATAAGTTATTATATAGAACACTTGCATATTATACTAATTACATTACATATTATGTATGCCTATATAATAATGATATTATTACATTACAATAGTCCTCCCTTTATCTACAGGAGATACATTCCAAAACCCCCAGTGCCTGAAACTGCAGCTGGTATTGAACCCTATATATGTTATGTTTTTGTTTTTTTTTACTACACGTGCATATCTGTTATAAAGTTTAATTTATAAATTAGGCACAGCAAGAGCTTTATAACAATAACTAATAATAAAATATAACAATTATAACAATAAAAAAAGTTACTGGAACACAAGCACTGTGACACCACAATAGTCAATCTGACAACTGAGATGGCAACTAAGTGACTGGCAGGTGGCAGCGGATATATTGTGGAAACAGCTGGATCACAGGATGGCTCACATCCTGGGCAGGATGGGGTGGGATAGTGCGAGGTTTCATCATGCTAGTTAGAACTGTGCAATTTTTAAAATGTATGAATTGCTTATTTCTAGAGTTTTTAATTTATTTAAATCTTCTAATTGAGGTTGACCTCAGGTAACTGAAACAGTGGAAAGTGAAACTGCAAATAAGGAGGTGATACTGTATCATTATAAGAGTTATAAATGGAATATTATGTACTAAATATTAATTATATATACATATACTGTATATACTATTAATAACTTACACATATAATGCTAATTATGTTATATATTATATATTATATATATTATATATGTAATATATACAATAATATATAACATATATTATATATTACATATATAACACTCATATATTTTATATCAAATAAGATAAATATATAAGTACCTCAGTTACTTATGCCATTTTACAACCACGTGTATCTTTTAATTAAAATGAAAATGGTAACATTATGCTTGGGTCAGAAACTAGATATATTAATTAAATCTTTGCTTTATGCCCACTCTGCAGTACTAAAGACATAGAAATATGCAAAATGAGGGGGCTTTCTTATTACATGAAAATATTCTAGTTTCTCCTGCATCCTTTCAGCAAGTATTAGCAAACTCCTGCTATGTTCCAAGCTCTGCCTTGAGCACTGGGCTACAGAGCCAAGTGAGTCAGTCCCTGACCTCTTGGAGCTCACAGATAGGTCAGTTAGCAGCCACAGAAAGCTGTGGTGGCGGTTGTCCTGGAGAAAGAAACACAGGTCTGTGGTGTCATAGAAAGAGACAAACGGACAAGATGGCGGCCGAACAGATGGACTTGTTCTGAGTCTAGTCCCAGAGCAGATAAAAGGAGCGCCTGAGAGTTGCTCGGGGAGTGTTAGTTGGCAAGCTAAGGGGTAGCAGAACTTTAAGAGAAGGGAGAAGTCTGCTGGACAGGTTTTCCTGACAATTCTCACACAAAAAATTATTTTAAAGTTGCTCAGGGTTGCCACTCAGGGCAAACATTTTTTTAAATAGACATACATGGCATGTGGGAAAGGTCTGCCACTTGAAAGGTCTGTTATTTTTTAATAACCCGGTGAAGATAGGTACAGATGCTTATGGCGTATATGAGTTAAATGAAGTCGCTAGATATGTTAATTAGATGTGGGTGAGCTCTAATCCAATATGACTGGTGTCTTTATAAGAAGGGGAAATTTAGTCTGGCCAGTGTAGTTTGGTGGTTGAGCACTAACCTATGCACTAGGAAGTCACAGTCTTCCTCCCCTAGATTATGACAGTCCAATTCTGATCAAGGCACATGCCTGGGTTGTGGACTTGATGCCCAGTAGGGGGCATGCAGGAGACAGTTGACCAATGATTCTCTTATCATTGATGTTTCTACCTCAATCTCACTCTCCCTTCCTCTCTGAACTCAATAAGAAGGGGGGGGGGGCATAAAAAAGAAGGGGATATTTAGACATAGGCACACATGAGGGAACACCAGGTGAAGACACAGGGAGAAGATGACCATCTACAAGCCAAGGAGAGAGGCTTGGACCAGACCTTTGCCTCACAGCCATGAGAAGGATGCAGTCCTATCAACACCTTGATTTCAGACTTCTAGCCTCCAGAATTGTGGAACAATAATATCTGTTGTTTAACTTACCCAGTGTACAGAACTTTGCTACAACAGTCTAAACAAACTAATGCAAGGAGTAACTCATTTGGACATGGTCCTGAGTTCTATCTTGGGTCAGTTGAGTTTGATATGCTATTTTTTAATAACCCGGTGAAGAAAGGTACCAAAATGACAGTTCAATACGCAAGTCTGGGACTTCAGTAAGGGACTTGGGACTAGAGATGGAGATTAAGGTGTGCCAATCATTTCTGACACTCCAGCATCTATAGCACAATGTGATTGTACATATTAAGAATTTAAAGAATATTTGAGTGGATAAATGTCATGTTTGCAGACAGAGGGCAGGAGGAACTACAGAGTGATTAGAACTCATTCTAATTTCCCACCACAGCAGTAATGAGCCTAGCTCAAGCCCTATTGGATTTGAGAGGATTGCTATGTTGATTACTCATATTTACACTCATGAGTGAGTAAAATCCCCTCTTTGTTCTCTAAAAACAGAGGATAAAAACTTAACCAAATATCAAGCTATTCTAAGAACTGACAGCCACATAGCCTCTTTGGAGCCTTACATTCACACTCATGTTCCGAAGTGTTGACTTTCAAGTATCTGCTTAGCTTAAATGTCAAAATTAGTTGACAAAATGGCACAATAGAAACTGGCAATAGCTGGAAATCAGGAGACCTTGCTTTAAATCTCAGATCTCCTCGGAAGAACTGGGTCACCTTGACCTTCCTGAGTCTCCTCCCCTCGTCCATAAACAGTGATGGGAAAGGTAATTGGATGATCTTCCAAATCTGGCATTCTGATTCTCACAATGCTGCCTTTAATTGTAAATGTTGGAAGAATTAAATTTCCACAAATTGACTTGCCAACCTAATTTAGTCCACCAATAGGAAGAAGACATGTAAACAAAGTGATAGGCAGAAACAAATATCACAGATGACTTTGGTAGAATAAGTTTCCTCCATAATAATTTATGGCTCCTAACAATGGCAGATGGAACACTGAAAAGAGACAGTATTTGGTTGTAGAATGCAACTTATTTACCAGCAAATTGTTTTTGGGGGGGAAGGTTTCTGAATGTACATGGTCACAGTATTTTTTCCAATGGTTTAAACTTCCAAGCATACTGAAAAAGGGCATGGAAAAATCCATTTTTAGCTGTTTGTGATTTTTCCTGGATCACTTCATAGTTAAACCTCATGCATTGCCTTTACTTTATATGCCTGGACTTCTCTGCCCTGGATATAATAAGTGACCAAAGGGTACAGATGATTAAGCTTTACTGAGTATCTATTAAGTGTCCTGTTTTGTGGCAGGGGCTTGACCTTTGTTACAGATGACCGCATTTAAACCTTTGTAACATATGCTGTCAGCCACACAGTATCTTCTTGACATGCTGAAAGTTGCTTGCTTAGAACTTCTGTCTGTCTGCCCAAGAGGATAAGCCAGACATGCACCAGAGTTACTGCTGCAAGAGCAACCCTCAACCAATATCAGATGGAAATTTGGTGGATAAATATTCCAGCTTCCTCACCACTTGTTTGGGATAACTCTGAAGCATATTTTACACTTACTCACAGTCTTCAGAGGGCCTGAGTTCTGGGTGCCCCTGGGGAATACGGGCTTGATAACATACCCTTTATGGACTGCCTTCTATGTCTGTCTTGACACTCTAGTATTTCCTGCAATTGTATTCCTGATACAGTACTAACACTCGCATCTTTGCCTCAGTGTGTGTTTCTTGGGTATCCAAACTAAAACATCCCCCAAGGTCCTTGTGGAGTAGGTACCATTATTGCTAACTTACAGAGAGGAATCTGATGGTCAGTATGGGTAAATAATAGTTGTTAAGTCATGAAGCTAGAGTTTTGCTGGCTCACAGAGACATTCCTCTTACACCAGTGCTTCTCACCCGAGGGAGATTTTGTCCCCCAGGGGACACTGAGATGTCTGCAGACAGATTTGGCTCCTAGGAGGTGGAGAGAAGGGAGGCTGCTAAACATCCTATAATGCACAGTTCAGCTCCCTACAACCAAGACTCATTCAGCCTAAAAAAAATGGCCAATAGTGGCAAGCTTGGGAAATGCTGCTCTACACCCAGCAAGGCTGGTTGTTGGATGGTAGCTCTCCCATGTGACTTATCTATTGCATTTCACTTCCAGGGCCAAGCTGTGGCTCAGCTGTGCTCCACTATCCCCAATGTGACTGTATTTGGAACAGCTTCTACTTTCAAGCATGAAGCCATCAAAGACTCTGTGACCCACCTCTTTGACCGAAATGCAGACTATGTGCAAGAAGTGAAAAGGTAAGGTGTTTGCTCAAAGGAGCACCAGGTTGGCCCTTGCTCTTCTCTCTCTCTGAAAGAACAGTTGCTTTCATCTGGAAGGGGGCTAATACTACCATAATAATAATAGTAAATATATATTGAGGTCCTAGTATGACTAGCTCTGTGCTAAATATTTCACCTATATTAGCTCATTTAATGCTCTTAACAGCCCCCATGTGCAGAAGATAATATCCAGGAATAGAGCAGTTAAGTCACTTGCAAAGCAAATGTATAACTTGCAAAGCCGTTATGCTAGCTCAGTGGTCGGCAAACTCATTAGTCAATAGAGCCAAATATCAATAGTACAGCAATTGAAATTTCTTTTGAGAGCCAAATTTTTTAAACTTAAACTTCTAACGCCACTTCTTCAAAATAGACTCGCCCAGGCTGTGGTATTTTGTGGAAGAGACACACTCAAGGGGCCAAAGAGCCACATGTGACTCGAGAGCCACAGTTTGCAGACCACGGTGCTAGTTGCTATAACACTGCCTTAACTCAGAGAAGTTTATTTCTCCTTCATTTATACAACAGCCTAAGGAAATGCAGACTCCAACCTGGGTATGACTGAGAGCCAATGAAGGACCAGAGTGGTGACATGATCAGATTTGGGTTTGGGGCAGTCACTGGTGGTACACAGAGAACAGATGGGAGACGGGAGACTGGAGGCAGGAGATCAGTCTGCTGGGTGTTGCAGTCATCCAGGGGGACATGGCTTCTAACCTAATCCATTTCCACCGGTGCTCCTGAAGCTATTGATCATGGCTATGTGCATGTGCATCAAGTGGAAAACCCAGCTGCCACCGTGTTCTCAGATGATTTGTGCATCTCAGCCCTCCTGATGCTCAGCGTTTGAGGCTGGTCCTCAGGTTATATTCCTGAGGAGGGTTTAGGGATGTCCCAGAGCATATTCCTGCATTTTCAGTTGATCAGCACTAAATTGCAATGTACAAAGGAATTAAGTTGTCCAGCTAGCATCCTAATAATAGGGTTACAATTTTCTGCTAATCACACAGTAAGATGGAAAATCGAAAGACTAGAGAGATGGAAGACCTGGTTGTCTGAGATGGTGGATTTAGTTCAGATTAAGTGAGAGTTTCTTGGAGAGTCTCCTGATATTCTGCATTTTCAGATTTGTTATTAAAGTTTAAACAGAGAGATTTGCATGTAATTTAAAATTGACCCAGTATTTCTGGGGTGGGGGTTTGGGGGGCATGAAAAGAGAGCTTTACAGGGAGATACTAGAAGTTCCTCATCTGGTTCTCCGAAGTCTGTAGATTGCAGCCATAGTTTAAAGAATTCCAGGATTTACCTATGCCTATTTTTATAACCCTTAGGTAGTCCTTCTTTTACCTAGCGTCTATCAAGTTGTGGTGGAGAAAATGAACTACCATGTCCCTTCAGCAATCTTTTCTTTCATCCTCTTAATGATATTTTTGTGAGCATCCTTTCCTTTATTCATGTACTAACCCACTTAATAAATATTGAACGTCTCTGTTGGGCCAGGTATGAGCCAGGGCGGGAGACACAGCCAGACCACTTTGAGAGACCATTTACGTGGAGTTCGAGTCTAGTTGGGGAAGAGGAGACAATTTTTTTAAAACTCCTTGATTTACAAGTTCAATAAGTGCCCTGCTGGAGAAATGCAAGGTGCCAGTAAACATATGCAGTTGGGGAAATCGGACACATTTTCCTTCAAAGGGTGAGATTTGGGCTGAAATCTGAAAGATGAGAATTTGGCCAAAGAAAGAGCATTCCTGACTTGGGGAGTGGTATGTGCTAGGGCCCAGTGTTAGAAAAGGCTTGGGAATTTGAGAATCTGAAAGGAGATCGGTGCAGCTGGAGGTGGTAGGATGTGGAAAGTAGTGAGAGAATAGCCGAAACCAGTTTGGCTCAGCGGTAGAGCGTCGGTCTGCGGACTGAAAGGTCCTGGGTTCGATTCCAGTCAAGGGCATGTACGTTGGTTGCGGGCACATCCCCGGTAGGGGGTGTGCAAGAGGCAGCTGGTCGATGTTTCTCTCTCATCGACGTTTCTAGCTATCTCTCTCCCTTCCTCTTTGTGAAAAATCAATAAATATATATATATATATATATATATATATATATATATATATATATATATATATATAAAGTAGTGAGAGAATAGACTCAGGAGGGGCAGCTCTTCTGAAAATGTGAGGACAGACTATGGCCAGGGAGCTCCTGAAGTTCCCATTTCCCATGTAGCTGCTCCATCTCCTGTCCTTCTCTGTCCTTGACCTGTGACCTTTAGCCCCAAATCAGTGATTTCTCCTGATGTCAGCAGAGAAGATGGTAACAGCATCTGAGATTCCTCTCATCATCACTTACAAGTGTGACTTCCAGCAATTCCTTATGAGTTTAAATAGAGACTCCGGAATTAGACTAAAAATGACTGGGAAGCTGCAAATATATGTATGCCCTCTGTCCCACCAATCCTACTCTTAGGAAATAATCCAAAAGAAAAAAAAGACAACAGGTCCCTGGTTGCCTACTGCAGAGCCAAGCACCGCTTCTGATTCACGGCAGGTGTGTAGCATATGTCCCGGGTGAATTATAGCATCGTCTGTAACAGTGAAGATGCAGAAGCAGCCTCCGTTATCAACAGAAGGAAAATAGTTCAGCAGATTACGCTACACCCACACACTTGAGTATTATGCAGCCCCTAAAAAAAAAAAAAGATAATTATGGAGACTGTCACAAAATGAGAAAAATAGCCGTGGTAGCATATTGAGTGAAAAAAGAAGAGTGCCAAATTTCATCTACACGGTGATCACAGCTTTGTATACATTCTCGACTCAAAAGGACATAAAATGAAAGGAAAGGAGGGATCCAACTGCTAGCATGCAATAGGAGGTGGATGCAGAGTATTTCTTTTTTTGATCACGGATATTGTTTATTGCACTATTATGTATGTGATAAACTAGAAAAAAAAATAGTAACATAAATTCTGTGAGATGAGAACTCTCTTGTACACCAGCTCATTGGTAAGGTTCTCTGGAACACATTCTCAGCTGTGAGCCAGGCATTGTGAAGGAAATAGGGGGGAGTCATTTATAATATAGACCTAACCTGCACATCACTTTCTCCTTCTCTGCTTGGGAGGAGAGAAATGACTATGCTTGAAACCAAGTGTAAGAAGAAGATGCCTTGAATCATGTCCATCTGACTGTAGGGGCATAAAAGTAAAAAGGAGAGAAAAACTAGAGAGAGCACCAAGGTGGACAGCCCCAAAGCGGCTGTCTGAAGGATGGGAGGGATTTCAGAAGGTAGAGGGAGGAGGAGAGCCAGTCCCAGGCAAGGCGAGTGAGCCCAGGCCAGGTGGACAATAAATAGCCCCAGATTTTGTTGGTCTCCTTGTGCTCTGCTGAGCATTGCAGTTAGACTATTGTATGTGTACCTTAGACAGACCTGCAAGGACAATTCCTCACTTACAGATAAAGAAACTGAGACTTAGTAGAAATTAATGAGAGTCTAATCACCTGGATAGGACAGAAAGTGATCCAGAAAGGATTCCTGGATGTGGTATTGCTAAGTCCATGTGGGAGCCATTAGTAGTAAACACTTACTAAGAAGCACAATCTGTGCTCAGCACCCTGTAAAGAGTCTATTGTGTACTGAGTGCTAGCTTAGCCCACAGTTTTCAGTCCTCTATGAGTGGCCTACTGTGTGCCAGGCACTGTGCTGGGCACTCTGCAATAGCCTCATCTCTCCGTCATGAACTTGGAAGTGACAATTAAAGCTATGGCACAGATGAGTTCTCAGAGGAAAGGAATTCAGAAAAAGAACTGAGTGAAGTGTCACGGGTCCAACTGGACATGAAAGTTACAATAAGGTGGAATTAATTTCTTGGCCAAGTAGAAAGGTTTCTGTCCCAGTAATGACTCTATGGGACCTGCTACCACTCAAGAGAAATTCTTCACTGATCCATGTGAGTGTGAAGCATTCCCAATAAAGGTGTGAGGAGTTGAGGACCAAGGAAGGAAAGACACAAAAGTCTTGGATCAGCAATTCCAAAATATCTTGTGCTGACTCTGGCCTGGAGAATCCTGAGCTGGGGCTATTTGTGTTTGGATCTGGAGAGATTTATGACAGCAGGAGAAAGCAGACATAGCAAATGTGGTACCTGGCTTTCTGCCCTCACCCTTTCCATGTTTATGTCATCATGATTACGTATGTACACAATGGAGCACCCCCAAGATTTGAGGTCTAATGCTGGCCTGTGCCTCTGGGAAGCAACCTCACTCTGCTTATGCTTCTTATGCTTCTTCCATGAAAAGGAACTGCTTGGTGCCTGGTAGGGCATGGCTCAGTGGTTGAGCACTGACCTATGAACCAAGAGGTCATGGTCCAATTCCCCATTAGGGCACATGCCCAGGTTACGGGCTCATTCCCTGGTGCAGGAGGCAGCTGATCAATGATTCTCTCTCATCACTGATATTTGTATCTCTCTTTCCCTCTCCCTTCCTCCCTGAAATCAATAAAAATACTTTTTTAAAGAGGAGCTAGTAGGGTGTTTTTTGATGTGGGTATAATGAGGGAGGGGCCAGCAGCATTTCAAATAGACCCAACTGGGTCCAGCTCGGTTGATGGATTGGGCTGATAATGATTGAATGAGGGATTGCTTTGTTTTCAATGAAGGAGCTTTGCTAACCTCAAAAGCAGCCATGTCTTCTTAGAAGTTTGACCGAAATGGCCAAAGTATCTTTCCCTTGGGGCCCAGGAATGACATCTGTCTCTACCTGCTTCTCTTCCTCAGAATTCACCTCACCCCACCATACCATGGCCTTCAAAAGGATGCAGTGGCAGCAGGGACTAATGAATTTGTGGCATATTTGGCATGTGTAAACCCTGATTTAGCTGATTCGACTATAGAAATGTCGAGAGAGGTATGGGGAGGAGCAGGTGGCCTGAATACACAGGAGACCCATGTGAAGCCAGAGAATAGCCTCTGCTTTGCTCCA